TCAAGGATAACAAAACCGTTATTCAACTGCTTTTTTGGAAAGCTGCAATTTATAATAGGAATCATTCACGACTTTTCACGCGTGGCGGCGCTGCGGTTCCATAAGTGGTTACTTGAACGCTTCAATCACGTAAAACGCTTGCATCTGTATTTACAACGTAAACAATGGCATCCGATGATTACATCACCTGGTCTGTTCCAGAACTAACGTTACGTGGAGCTGTCACAAGAGACAGAACTATAGATCTTATAGAAAGGTAAACGATGTATTTAAAAAATATTGAGATTTCTTCTATTATATAAAGCGGAAACGCCGCTACAGTACATGACCAAAAAGATTTCGTCACCTACATTTTTGGGCTATATATTTCATATAAAAACACGTTTATTGGAGGCATTTATGGTTGTATTTTTACAAATAATGTGTTGAAAAACGCTGAATTGTATATAAAGAGTTATTATTTGATTGTTTTGTCATAGCTCTGTCATCAGTTGTTTTTATTTTCTCCTGATGTGAACACATGTACTATTTTTTACAATTCAATTTGGTTGAAATATAAATATATAGCAAGATTGTTTATAATAGACAATAATATTTATGTTTATCTCAGAAGAAAATGAAAATAAACAAATAATTATTCTGCTGTTGGTACCAAGTTGCATAAAATCAAATCAGAAATGTCCCCTAAATAATCTTTTGAAATGCAATTTTATATGAAATATTTAGTGTGAAATACCAAGTGACAAATACATGTACCCCAAGTTAGAAAAAAAACAACAACAAAAAACCCACTGAACTTATAAATAGTCATGAATGTATAATTAAACTTTCTAGGATACATTTAAATGATTTTGTATAATAATAATTAAAAATAGGGGTTCTATACAGATATTATCTGTTGGCCATGAAATGTGATATAAACCATGCAGACTGGGCAAGGGAAAATTAAATTTAACTTGTTATATACTGGGACTATTATACTAATAGTATTATAGTCCCAGTTATATATAAACAATTTATTACTTTTGAAAATGGGACAATTACACAAGGAAAGTATTAAATCCTCCCAATACCACTTTTAAACAAGACATGATTCTACATTTTTAAGCTTTAAATCTTTTAATATGTCTCAGCTTCATCAACTTAAAAAAAAAGACACTGTAAAAAAAAAATATAAAGGCCCTTCTCTGCATAACATGATGGGGCCATTTTTGGAAATTTTAAAGATATATACATCTATAATGAAGTTTTATTTGTAATTCAAGTTCAAACAAGGAATTATTTAAATATGGAATAATTTCAAATTCTTCAAAATTGATTAGAAAATAATTATGAAAACTAACCCAACTAAATATTTTTTAAACTTAGAAATGTGGTCCCTATAGTTCTACGTCCTTTTTTGAATCCTATCTGTTCTTGGCAGATAATCTTATAAGATTCTAAATAGTTTTCTAAACTATTATACTCTAGAAAAAAATGTTCCTAAGCTAGTAAAAAGGGTTATACCTCTATGGTTTGAAGGGCTATTAAAACATCTTCCTTTGAATATGGGTTAAATAAATTTTCTCTCCAATAAGAACTTCTTGCTAGAGAGAAAATTTTATTAATTTTTAAGAAAAAAGTAGTGTTTCATAATTTTATATACATATCATGCCCAACATTCAGCATACAAGAATTTTTCAAAATTTTATTAGTTATACCATTAAATCCACTTGATATCTTGTTTTTCAAATATTTCATGGCAAGCAGAAACCTCCTTTGTAATCCTAACATTTTAATCTATGTAATAGTACTTTAAAAAATCTTTACCTACATGTTTTAAAAAAATTCAAACCATTCCTTAGCTTGTTTAATTAAACTTTGGCTGGAACATGCATTAAATATTTGTCACTGGACATTAAGATTCCAACAATCCATCAATATATTTGAACTTGAATCATTGATTTCTTTCCTTTTTGTCTTGCCTTGACAGAGTCCAAAAGCAAGACATAGCATATATTAGGTATGCTGTTTTCAGCGTCATCAACAATGTATTAGTTAGTAAAGTAATATAAAATAGTGAAATATTGCAGACATTTTCTACTGATAGATATTTGTAACCATGAAAGATAATATATTCATTATACAGTTTTCATGATTAATCGCACAGGCACTTGTCTCAGAAAAAAATTTCCTATATACCTCAATATATAACACGTGTTATATTAAGGCATATAGGAAATTTTTTCTGAGACAAGTGCCTGTGATTAATCGCTAGCCCTTCAGGCCAGGCCAGATACATTTTTTGTAAGTATAGATAATTGTTAATGTGTCAATCCTAGTCAGGAGCCTTTAATCTAGTAGTTATAGTTGGTTAATTTCTGATATATATACATTTATATTTGTTTTTTTATTGTCTTATTTTATAATTTAAAATCAAGCCATTAGTTTTCTTGTTTGAATTTTCTTTCATTTTTGAATGTTGTGACCTTTGTAGCTGACTTGTACAATGTGATTTTTTCTTGACTGTATTTTATTTGATATTTTGTCTTTTTTTTTATCTTTTGTAGAATCAATTAGAGGAGCCAAAATGTATAAGCTTAGGTTCAAAACATTCTGGAGGAGCAGATTGTGTGAAGGTATTTATCCTTTTATAGCCTCAATCTATATCACAAAAATGTATTTGTGTTAAGACCAAGTAAAGGTTACAGGACCTAATCTCAGTTGGGAAAATGGTACTGTACAGTTTTATTTTAGTACTGGTGAACTCTAACGTTACAGACTCGTATGATAATAATACACCTGAAACTCCACAGATGTACGTGCATATCTAATAGCTATGAATATTCCTTCCGAATCCAGCCACACTGATTAGATGTCGCTTTTTAATATAAATTTTTATGAAACCAGACTGGATTAAAATAAAATTTTCTTGTGTAATTTGGTGAAATTTAAATTATCTCCACTAGTTTACTCACTAAACAACAGGACTAATTTGTTAACATTTTCTTTACAGAAGCCAGCAGAAGTCAAGAGAAATAAAAAGAATGGAACAAAAGAAAAAATGAAAAAGAACAGTGAAATGACAAAATTAAATAAAATTTTTGCATTTCTTATTGTTGTTATCTTGTGTATTGTTGACCAAGACAGCAAAAAAAACCATCGAAAAGCTGTTCAGACAGAAAATGACAGATGCTACACATGATCAAACAAAAGATAAAAAAACACTTCTAAGAAAAAAATTTGTTCAATGCTGGACCAAATGAAATGCATGAGGATATTTATAATCTGAAAAAATTAATACCTCTATGCAAGTGAAACAAATTATGTGGTATGGGCTTTGCTCATTGTTGTAGGCTGTACGGTGACCTATAGTTGTAATTATTTCTGTGTCATTTGGTCTCTTGTGGAGAATTGTCTCATTGGCAATCATACCACATCTTCTTTTTCATATGTGTTCAGTGCAAAATACAAAAAAATGGACTATTCAATAAAATTGATATCTAAGACAGGAAATATTGGGGTTTGTCAATGAGACATCAACCCGACAAAAATAGCCAAAATATATGTAGATTAAGCCGGCATCAACAGCATGCAGACAAATGTAAAAGGAGATGTGGGGTAAAGATCAGTATGACGGCAGTTGTTTTCTCAAATGTTGATCCAGGATTTTGAATCTAAATAAAGTGATCCCCCCCACTCCACTCTGAAGTAACTGTATTAAAACAAAGTCAATGTAGGACTTTCTTTGAGATATTATTGTGTCTGGGAGACACAATTGATGCCCCCGTAGATGCAAAGTGTTATTTTAAAATAACTATAACATTTAACCGCTTATACCCCAAAAATGACAAAGTTCAACTACATTGTATCTCCCAAAAGAGCAAATATTAATAAAAATCAAAACCCTGTCCACATGCACATCTTCAATATATGTACAAACAGACAGCAAAGTGAAAGCTTCCTAGGATTCTAACTGTAGGAGGAGTTCTGCTGAATAACTATATACCCATAATGGGACGGACGGACGGACAGACAGAAGGACAGACCGGGGTAAAATAATATGCCCCCTCCCCCCAACTTTCAATTGCGGGAGTAATAAAAAAATCTGGATTAACCATAAATGTAGCTCCATAATGGCCATAAAGGCACACCACTCCTAAATCTGTCTCTGATATTAAACATTGTTTATGCGTACTGTTGTACGTTTGTTGTTTCTACATTGGCTAGAGGTATGGGGGGAGGGGGGAGATCTCAAAAAACATGTTTAACCCCGCCGCATTTTTGCGCCTGTCCCAAGTCAGGAGCCTCTGGCCTTTGTTAGTCTTGTATCATTTTTAATTTTAGTTTCTTGTGTAAAATTTGGAGTTTAGTATGACGTCCATTATCACTGAACTAATATACTAGTACATATTTTTTTAGGGGCCAGCTAAAGGACGCCTCCGGGTGCGGGAGTTTCTCGCTGCACTGAAGACCCATTGGTGGCCTTCGGCTGTTGTCTGCTCTATGGTCGGGTTGTTGTCTCTTTGACACATTCCCCATTTCCATTCTCAATTATATTCTGAATATTTTATAAAAGGACTTGAAAGATTATGTTAGAAAACATTTTTATAATGATATTTCGTATAACATTTAAATGATTTTTTTTAACGATTTTTTGAGAATATGAAGATGATTAAAACATTTTGTTAAAAAATATTTTTTGAACTTTTTCAAAACATTTTATCCTGCAGAAATGAATTTTTATATGTTTTTAAAATGTTTCAGGGATATTTGATTAACAAACACATTCAAATCATTTATAAGACATTTTACAAACATTGTCATCAAAATTCAGTAACATTTTAATGATGTTTGAAAAGTATCATGAAAATGTTTTGAAAATATTTTTAACGCCATACATTTTTGCATGAGTTTGATATTTTTCTACAATATTTTTTCAACATTTTCTATTTTTTTTTGGTACTAACTGGGAAAGCAGTGGTGAAACAGCACCACATTAGAACAAATAATAAAGTCAATTGCATGTAAATCCATTTCATCTTTTATGCATATTTATTTACAATGTATTTTTATGAGATTAGAAAGAACACAGCAAACATAGATAATTCTGGAACCAAGTTGAATTAGAAGTTTCCACGTGGAATTACATGTTTCAGATTTTTTATTCCCCTGCCACAGCGAAGGAGGGGCATTAAGTTTTACCCTTGTGTAACTTTTAGACAATACAAGGACTCTTTTAATGTGAATTCGGTTGGATGACACTTTTCTATCACAAACTACTTTCTTCTGATCTAGTTGGAATTTCCCTTTCAGAAAAGTTTGTGTGTTAATATAAGGATGGAACTGTCTTGGCTAGTAAATAAATCCTGTTCCATAATTCCACTATTTGCCATTTGTTGTCACCTTTGTCAAATTTTTTTTTACACCTGGATCTGACAGAAGTATTGATCCTCGCACTTGCAGCCACTTTGATTTTAACCATGAATTCATTTCAAACATAAAGATGTATCCCATCCATCACTTCATGGTTGGGTAAAAAGTCTGTTATCCATGATGGCTTCTGAAATATTAAAACAGGAAACCACAAAGCATCATGTTATTTAATAAACTGCAGGTTCAGAAATTTTTCTTATCATTCATAAAGGACAAGCGTTTAATGCGGGTATGTGTGTGATGTTTTTTTTCTCACAAAAATACTCTTGATTTCCAACTTTGAAGAATTAAAAAAAATTGTTCACACAGCTTTTGCCATAAGTTTAATGTAAAGTCCTTAGAAAATTCAGACTTTATTGTGACAAACAAATAAAAAAATTATGCTCATGTGTACCATGGTTTTTTTTAGAATGCAATATAGGGATTGTCATATTTCCCAATATATGTAGTTCTCTTCCTTTCATGCATTGTTTTGTCAGGGAAATATATTTCACTTGCTATAATTAAGTGCACAACATAATTATTATTTCTTATTTACAATGCAAACAAAGGTAAAAGGGTGAAAAAATGTGAAGACTAGTAAAAAACTTACAAAGTGTGAGGACTAGGAAAAAACTTACAAAGTGTGAAGACTAGGAAAAAACTTACAAAGTGTGAAGACTAGGAAAAAACTTACAAAGTGTGAAGACTAGGAAAAAACTTACAAAGTGTGAAGACTAGGAAAAAACTTACAAAGTGTGAGAACTAGGAAAAAACTTACAAAGTGTGAAGACTAGGAAAAAACTTGCAAAGTGTGAGGGTATATTTGAAGAATAAAATACCGTGATCCCTGTGTCATCCCCCTATTTTAATAAATAATAACCTGTCAAATTATTGGGCTGTTTAATCGAGAAAAAATGAAACAAAGAGGTTTAATAATGTACTAAATATAAGAAAAATATAAATACATAATAACCTAATCCTGTTGTTATATAATCTCCTGGCATGACATGGTTATCAGCTGGTTATGGCAAACTTGGTCGACTTTTCCGCCGGGTTTCCCTAGAAGGCTAGATATTTTTGATGGGTGGATCAACTCTCTTGATGCCTTCTCTCCATTTCAAAAGAATTTCATTGTCTTTTGGGAATCTGTGGTCCCCCTTCAGAATAATTGCAGCCGGGGACACAACAATTTTGAAGCTTAGGTTGTTGAAATTAGCGAGTGTCGATAATTTGTGGTTACTAATGTAAACATGTGCAACGTAATGCGATTCAAGCGTCCAAGTGATTAAAACGTTTCCGACAACCACTTATGGAACACCAGCGACGTCTACAGGAAGAAATATTACGAATGATCCCTATTAGTTGTGATCGATGGCGTTCGCTTTACCTGTTAGTGTAAGTACTTTATGTTCTTGTTACAGCTCTATGTAGAAGGTCAAGTTTAGAAAGTGTAAGGGTTAGATGATTTTATTTTTGCACTTTAGGTCACAGGCAGAGCCGGGGGAAACATGTTAATATTTCTAACTTCAACCAATACTACATACTGGTTTCTTTTCTTTTTTTCTTTTCTCTTAATATTTATTCACTAAATCAAGCATGTATTTTTGAGTAAAGCTTTGTAAAAGTCAGTCTAAATTGCTTTAAATACTGCAATTCATTGTGCGTAGCTTGACACATTGGTTTGCATTCAGTTTAGAAGCAAGCTCATTTCGGATATTTTCCTGGCACTTTCAAAGTGTTAAAAATATTTTTTCCTTGGGCTGCTATATTGAAAACTCCATTTTAGCATAAAAAGGAGTATGAGGGGACGGCAATCTGATATTCTTGCTCGCACAATTATTTCCGGCATTTCATGTTGAAGAGTTTATGTCTTATTAACTTAAAAAAAAACCAAAGCAATTATCAGTAAAATACGCAAAAATGAAAAAAATTTAATACAGACAATATCTCGTTTTTTTCTCGATCTGGATACATACTGTCTTTTAATCATAAAAAGGGTTCTGTGCAAATTATTGGTGTCTAAAAAAAAACCTAAATGTTTTCCTTTGTATATAAGACTTTCTTGGTTGTAGTATGTTGCAAAAAGAAATAGCAAATATTATAGGTGTACATTTTGGTGAGTCCGAACAGCCATTTTAGAAACGTACTAACGGCCATCGTAGTGACTATGAATGTAAGCCAGACCTTCCTCTCAGTCGACATTTGAGATCCCCTGATCACACAAAGGTTGATCTCAGTCGACTGACTATTACCATCATTGACCATAAAACTGCTTAGTTAAGGAGAAAATCACTCGGGGAAATATATTGGGACTAGAAAATCACTCTAGGAAATATTTTAGATAAGGATTTTTTTGACACCAAATAGGATCGATGAAGATGTGTATTTCAAATCGCGTAGTGCCAACTACAGCAGCTGGATTTGTTGTTTCATTTGGAATGCGCACATACGCATCCTTGTCTTTTGTAAATACTTTTAAAATTTGCCAGAACCTTAAGATTTTAGAATTTTACAAGCGTTGTGCGGTTTTTAATTTGTTTTACGTTTAAATTTTTATTAAAGGATAATCAGCATAGATTAATGACTCCATTTTACGTCATACTGATCACGGGCACTGGTCTCTGAAAAAAAAAACCCCTATATACCTTTCGAGAGACAAGTGGCTGTGATATATCTGTCATCCGAAATATTTATTGATATATGCTGGACATAATATATTGTTAGTATAATAGTCCCAATTATATGTATTGATTTACTTTTTCCTTTATTTTTTTTTATTTTTGTGATGTTTACTTTTTACGCGTGTTTTAAATTATTTATTGTGTATAGTTTCGTTTCTCAAACGATTCGACACTCTCGTAAGAAAGATCGTTGACTATTATTTAGACTCTTGTTTCAAAATTCCAATAGGGAACATACATTATATTATTGTATTAAACCATTTTTTTTTAAATGGTTTATTTACTACAATAATATTATTAAGACGTATTATATATAATCATGAAACTATTCTACATAATCATTGAACTTCTATTTATAAATGCATTTACCAGGAAATAGGCTCTTTGCCAGAAGTATAGATGGTTTGCATGTTTGATACTGTCGATAATGGCAGCAGTTGTGACAGGGGTATGTTTTTCTTTTCTATTATTTTCTTCGTCAAACGTATTTTTGTTTGTTACTATATATGTAAAGCCTATAACGGTGTTCAAAATTTTCAGTTTTAGATGTCGCCAACATAACACATAATGCCTTTGCGATAATATGGAAAATGTATTTTACATAATTGAATATTTCATCAAACTTTTCAGGCTGGATTACTGTTTGGTGTTGGAGCATACCATTTCTTTAAAACAAGCAATAAACGAGTCTATAATATACGACAGCTTAAAAAGGGCGACCATGTCAAATACAAGCGTGAACTCTATTCTCATCATGCCGTAGTTGTAGATGTTTATCCAGAAAATCAGACGTATAAAGTAATACACTTCACTGGTGAGAAAAAGTCAGGCATTCCGGCAGAAATCAAAGAGGAAGTTTTTCATTTCGATTTTGAAAAAATCATATTAATCCATTATAGGTATGGACGTTTAAATAGAAGTGAAACTGTAAAACGTGCGTACAAGCTGTTGAAACTACAGGATGAAATGCGTGTTATTTATGATATCCTCACCAATAATTGTGAACATTTTGCTACTTGGTGTATAACTGGAGAAGCAAAAAGCCAGCAAGTCAATAAAGCTTTAGCACCGATTGCTCCTTACATCAACTTTGTAGGTTCACTAAACAGACCTTATTAGAAACAGCCATTTAGCTTTGAAATTCAAATCACAAGAAGTTATATTATAAATTAACATACCAAATTAAACTTAAAGCTAATGATAAAACTTCCCTGGTTTTTTTTCCACAACACTTTTGAAGTTGTGACGATGCTTTCAATAACAATTTAGTAACACTTCAAACTTGCATGTACAAAAATCGTATGCACGCCTTTATGTAGCCTTGTGTCTACGTAAATGTAATAAGTCAGTTCTTTAAGTCAATACAACTGTACAAATTAAATATACGGAAGATTGTTTCTATCGTCAGTCAATCCACGAGTAGCTATCAATAATATCACTCGGATTAAAAATGATATTTAATTATATAGTATATCTATGTACATCTCACCATTGAGTTTAAAACATTTTGGGATACCCTTTATGCTGTAAACCGTTTGGTTTCGGTCTAAATGTGAACAAGAATTGCAAACGCTTCAAGGCGTAGAGCCAATTTCCCATTAATTTATTTGACAAGTCATTTTCAAAAAAATCTTTCAATCTCTACTTTGAGTCATAGTCTCACAGTCAAGGGTACTTACAATAGTTTGGCTTATCTCTCAACAGGTCACAAAATAATATAATAGCTAGAAGGCCAAAAACCTAAATGTTCAGAGACTTTTTCAAATTTTTAGTATTTATCCCCAATATGTACGAGAAGAAACTAAAATTATGTTGGAAGTAAAGCAACTTATTGTCTTTCGAATACAAATTAATTCATTTTGGTTACTGATGTCTTTCAATGCAAACTTTGACAAAATAATGTAAAATTTGCAATTTTGTATAAAAAAAAATACCTCCAACAGCAACATATAGTTCTGGATAACTTGTAAATTTTATTGTAATATTTGATAAATGAGAAACACTATTTTAAGTATATGATATAGACTCTCTAATGTATAATTTATAGTAGGATTTGAAACTTTTAGATAGTGTCACTCACAAATAGGGAATAATGGCCCTACTCCTTTATAAGTTTAAGTTTGATTCATTGTTATTTTCTTAACGAACCCTGCTCGTGGCTCTGATATAAATTGACAAGTTGCCAATTTTCATGCCGACAGTCAGTGGTTTCTCCACCAATAAAAGCTTGCCACCATAATATAGCCAATGTAACCGAAAGTGGCTTTAAACACCAACAAATATCATTTTCTGAATGTACAGTGGCAAGTATTACATGCATATTCAGGACGAGAAAATAACAGATAATTGAAACGTAGGTTATGCATGGTTGATCGACCTGAATAAATTGTGGAAGATTTAACGTGACTAGAAAAGGGTCTTACAATAACAGGTGTTTATACGTGCCGTCCCTCTTTTCCAAAACGTATAAACTAGTTTAAGCCTGAGAGTTTTCCGTGTGTTCATGTTTGTCTTTGAATGATATAGAAGGTATCTAGTTGTGTCAAATGAAACTCCAATGGATTTTCTTCAACATTATTCAAACTTTGCTCATTGATGCACAAAGATTGAATATGTACATCTCCTGTTTTGGACCGATTTGAATTCGCCCAGGTTTCTAATGTGTAAAACCACACATATGCTATGTCACTAAGTACAACTCCAACAGTTTCCATCATCTGTATCTTATAGAACACCTAAATGTATTTTATTTCGCAAAAAACTTCCACAAAAACAAATATTTAAGTTACTATAATAAATTATATCTTCTTTCTAAAGACCGAACCATTCTTTTGTCCGAGAATTTATTTTACTTATTTAGCTTCCATGGAAACTTCCATATTCGTGCATATAGATTGGTTGCACCTATGAAAATTGATGAAAGTTCAAATCTTTATGGCACTAAAGGCTTTTCTTCAAAACATTGCACGGTGTGATGCAGGTCCAGGTATACTATTGGTCTTGTTTACAGGAAAATCATCTAAGATCTCAGAAGGAATTTCCGAAAAAAACCCAGTGATAACTGATATCACATTTCCTGGTGATGACATTTTTCAAATTTTAACCTCACTTAAACAAAACCTTGGTGTCACATCTCTCATTTCTGACGCTCTACTAAATGCTAATTTAAAACCAAATGAAATGGTAATTTAGCTTGTTGCAACCAATTAATAAACTCATCATAGATACCAGGATTAAAATTTTGTACGCCAGACACACATTTCGTCTGTAAAGGACTCCTGTCCATTCCTTTAGAGGTCTGTGAAAATACTAAAGATACTATATATATAAGATCTCTTGGAAGGTAAACAGCACTAAATGGAACGTTGAAAGAGCATTTCTTTCATGTTTTTCTAAATCATTTACAAGAATACGAAAAATGGTCTTGCTTCTCAAAAGGTTTTTTTTTATGAACATACAGTTGTGTTCCCTCCCCAAAACTTACAAACTAGCTTCTGCAAATTATATCAGATGTGACTTTACACCATTTAGATTGCCAGGATTCAATCAAACAACCAAAAAATACTTATATTCTCTATAAACCTAATCAGTGATTTTTGATAAGAGTGACAAGCTGTGTTGCATTATTAAATGTTGATATAGAAACTTATCATGATTAGGTAAGGGAGAGTTCATTACAAGAACTTTTACCCAGTGATACCAATATGTCATTGACATGTAAAAAGAAAAACAACACTCCTTTTTATTTTTACAGCATTTTTTTTCTGTCAAACCAAAACTTACTCTCTCTACAAAACATACAAAATGACTGCCATGATGCAAGTACAATGATTAACATAATAATAGTACTAATCTCATAATTCTGACTTCTTATGACTGTCTAAAATAATTAAGACAACAAAAATATGTGAATTCTATTTTTATGGCTCTTTCACAAAATGTTTTATAATACTAGAATGTTAAACTGCTTTAAGAAGAAATATATGATATTTTAGTCATATTTTTAAAAATGTTTGTGAAAAGGGCTGCTATCTTTTAAAAGTTGAAAAAGGACACAATCACTTTAAAATGATATACCATATGGCCACAAGGTTGCCTATTGTTGCTTATATCCACTTCATTTTGAACTTTAGTGGATAGTTGTCTCATTGGCAATCACTTTATTACTTTTATATAGATCTTTAATTAGTTAAATAAGAAGGATTAATCTTAGACGCTGTTGACAATTATATTAAAATGACATTCTGTTCATGCTCCCAAGGTTTGTTATTTAAGGTTCATTAGCAATATCCCATGAATATTCATAACAAGAAGGTATTAAATAATATATCAAACAGGTAGGTTCTGGAAAGTGGATTGACTAACATGAAGAGGGAGAACTGAATTGCCATAGAAAAAGACGGTATGTTGGGTAGGAGCAGATATTTGACTTATTATAGGTGTCCTATGGACCCATAAACAGCTGTTGCAAGGGTTCTTAAACAAGCATCAAGCAAAGAACCCAAAAAATATATTGTTTATCATGCTTAGACGGTTTGCATAATCACATAGTTAGAAATTTTAAAGTAAAGTTGTGAATGATTTTTTCATTAAAAGAAGGTATGATAATGCCATTTAATTCATCCCTATCAATATAAATATTACAAAATGTTTTAATCATCATCTTTTAAATACCCTACATCCATTTGTACTTAAGATATAATAATAAACTTTGATTCACTTCTAACATATTTTCTCTTGGCTTTCAAATTTATGGCATTCATTTAAAAACATTGTCAAAACTGCCCCAATTTTGAAATCTTGTCATCAATATTTAGATATAAGAGCAGGCCTACCAAGCAATAAAATATACTAGATGTACTTTCTAAATGTGTTGATGTAATTTAAATATGTTTTTTCGTAATTCTGTTGCTCTTTATTAGTTTACATAAACTATGCCTTCATTGATACTTTTATTAAACATGCTAATTATGATATACATTGTATCTTTAATGTCAATGTAACAATAACAAGACATTTTTTACTGTAGTTACAAACGCATATATTGTGTTCATTTGTCAGTTAATGTATTAGAAATTTTTTTTTCCAATTTGAGGGCAAAATACCTCCTGGCACACCTGCTTATTAATTCCTGTTGATTTCTATGCCATTGAAATTAAATATTTCCAAAGCAGGTACAATAGATAAACAGAACTGGGGACCATTATTTAGGGTTTGATAATTAATTTTATTAACAACAGATGGAATCTAAAAACATGCCACTTGGAATATTTGGTATTTGAACAAAATTAAACAGTCAATCTGACTTAAAACTAACCATTAAACTAGTTTGAATTTTCACCACAATCAAGCATTGATTATGTAATGAAAGAAATTTGACAGAACGACCTGCTTAATGTAAAAACAATCAATATCATGTCCTTTTCTACTTAAATTTTAAGCAAAGAATTCTTTTCTATTTCTAGTGTTTAAATAAAGAAATTCATTTAATGTTAATTGGATCCTATAAGGATTCTGAGCATTCATTCAAACAAACGTCTATCACACTGCAACAATATAATTATACATATGTACATAACAGAAACAAGGAGTATTTTAATGGAGGCAAACAGTGTTAATTGTGTATATACAAAACTAAAGGAATAACAAGGAATGTTAAAATATTCCAATATGGTTAGAACATTTATCAACAGCATTAATTTGATAAATTTGTATATGTTGATTGAATCAAGTATATATGCAAGAGGAAACTGACATTACTAATCCATTTGTCTTCTTGAACAATAAAATATGATTAAACTAAACTAATCAACAACTTTAAATGTAAAAACATCTATAATAACATATCTATGATGTAAACACAAGTATAACTTAACTTGATGCATTTATCATATATTTTATATAAAAATGTACGTTTTTTTACATTGTAATTCATGTGTGCCAACCTATGAAAGTACAGATAATGTAACTGATAAATGCAGAAAACAAAAATCCATGGAAAATGTACATCTATTTTTTAATCCTGATAACTTAGATGTACATCCTCCTTAGAAGACATGTGGGCTGTGTTTCCTGTTTGGCTTTGAAAGTCAAGAAATCAACGAGACCAAAAATTCAAATAGTAGGTGCACAATTTCCTTCCTGCAGAAGTGTCTCATAAAATTTAGTTAGTTGTTCTGGCAGGAGTTGTACATTAAAGCTGTTCCCAACATTAGAATCACATCTTTAACCCCTGTTGGTCAGATGGAAATTTTTTTGAAATTGAATTGATGTGTAAACAATACTCACTGAACTAGTATATATATTTGTTTAGGGGCCAGCTGAAGGACGCCTCCGGGTGCGGGAATTTCTCGCTGCATTGAAGACCTGTTGGTGGCCTTCTGCTGTTGTCTGTTCTGTGGTCGGGTTGTTGTCTCTTTGACACATTCCCCATTTCCATTCTCAATTTTATTTTGAAAAGCCCATTAGAGTTCTACAAGTCTGATGCTGATTCTACCGGCCTGACACTAGCAGACTAACAGATTAACTAATGTAAATTTAAAATATCAGTTCTGTACTATCCAGAATATCATACTGATGTAAAAACTAAATAATAAACTACAACTGTGTGAGAAATCACAAAAGGATACCCTCCTCCTCACAATACTAGTGAACTGAAGTTAATAAATATGATTATCTCCCCTTCAACAAGTTGGACCATGATCATATTCCCCTATGCACAACCTCAGAACTATAACTTTGTAAAGTTTCATCAATATCCATCCAGCCGTTAAGGAGGAGTTGCACTTACAAGGCACATGGACAAAAAAACAGTCAGACAGACAGGATGATTCCTATATACCCCAAAAACTTTGATTGTATGGGTATAATAACTGAAAAAATATTACAGAGAAGTAATATTTTAAAATAAACGAATTGTCTAATTTAAAAAGATTATCTTTGAAATGTGTTTATCATTATTCACTGAATAATTCAGTTGTTTCTTTTTTTTATAAAACTACTTTTATAAGAACCTTTTCTAGAAACTATACAAGGACAAGTCTCATATTTTAATCTGTGTTTAACCTTTAAAAAAAACTGTTAATCCATGACAATGTATGAATTATTGTTATCAACGTGATTTTGAAATAAGATCTCAAAAACATTACCTGTATATTCACCATACAACAATACATTGTAGTAATTAAGTAGCATCATTAGCATCAATATTATACAAGCAATTACACATTGCCAGTAAGCACTTATTTGTACAATTTTAACACAAAAATCAACATGAGGTTAAACAATAAACAAAACAAATAAGAAACAAAAACATCAACAATTACAACTGCAACCGCACATGTGTTAACCAGTTTTCTTGAAAGTGATCAATTCTATCACTAGTTGTCTTTAACAAAAAAAAATCAAGTCTGTTGAAACAAAAATTCCTGAGGTAGAACACTAGTAAAATCCAAGCAAAAATCAGTTATTTTGTATGAGCCTTATAATTTTTACTTTCTTACAATTGTATAAATTGATTTAGATCAAAGATCAAATTAAACTGACCAGTTGCAAGTAAATTGGTTCACACGTTTGGTTTAGGTTGTAAAGAACTTTGGCTACTATCAAACCCACTACAGAAAACTGGAAGATTGCTAGTCACTTCATATCACTACTACACAACTGTATGTTGTTTTGAACCAACAGTTTTAGAAGTTTTGTCTGCACTGATTGTGGTAGACACTTCTGATTGGCTCTTTTGAGAGTCTGCATTTGATTTGTTTACATTGTCAGTTGTTGAGCAAGCTCCTGATAGACTAGTAAGTGGTTGATCAATTGTTGATTTTTTATTTGGCATGGCCTCTTTTTGACTTTCCACTTTATATATATTTGAATCTTTAAATTTTTGTTTATTTTTTTCTAATTCTTCTTCAGATCTTCGTATCCACGGTGATTCTAAACACTGGTGATCCTACAAAAAAATATCAATTAAAGATTATGTCTTTCCCACTTTTCAGCAAAATTAGTAATAAATATTTAACTAAGTGCCAAATCATCAAATGCATCAGAAAGTGTATAGTCTTTTGTAAGTTCTTAAATTCATCTGATCAGTTGAATAACGTAATCACTTCAGATTCAGTTCAGCAATAGAATTGAAAATGAAATACATGTGTTTAGATAGTATTCCAAAAATCATTGGTTTATTTATAGATTATTACATGGCATTTTCCATATTGGCCCTGGTATCAGCCCTAGACTCCCATATCAAGCCAGAGGGCTTGATATGGGTCGTGGGCTGATACCACGGACCATATATATGGAAAATGCCATGTAATAATCTATTTATCACATATTTTCAAGCAAGAGAAAAAAGATAGTATATACCAAATTATGTTTGATATTTTCAACAAAAATTCAAAAAAAAATTTAACGAAAAAAATTTAAAAAATGTATCACAGTGAGTTAACAAAGTTCGTATCCCAGTGAGTAAACAAAGTTTTGTGAAAAGTTTAACAAATAATTAACAATAAATATATTAATTCCCAGAATTGTAAATATTAAACGACTTTAAAAAGTGTTACATTTCCAATTAATGCTGACGAAGAATACACCATATCGCTACTATGATTTGGAAATATGTTCCGCTTGAACTTTCGATGTCATACAACAATCGCTTTTTCATTGTGACGTCATATATTTTCTAAATTCTTTATGACGTCCAAATTTTACGGGAACTTTTGTGATTTCCACTGTTGATTTTTTACATTTTTTCTACTACAGCAGATTCGTAAATTTCTAAATTTCTTTTCATTGTGTTCTCATTTTTCATTTCTTGTATTACATACATCGTCATTTGATCTGTGAGAAACCTCTCCTGATCGTCTAACTGCTTCGGATGACAACTTGTTTACAAATAGTTTTTGATTGACAGGTTACCAGAAGTTAAACTCGGGGGCTCGATATGGATTTCAAGGGCTGATATCGATATTGGCCCCGAGGGCTGATAACCAACCTTGACTTCCGGCTATTATTGGCCATGCAAAAACGTACATATCAGTACAAAATATGTGATAATAAGAGTTATTCTTCATAGGTACTTTCGTTTAAATAGTTTACATCCACATTATTTGGTCTTTGGTTGTCTCATTGACAATCATACCAAATCTCATTATTTCTATACTTAATATGTTGGGAGAATTCCTCTTGTTCTAGAAGACCGTAGTGGTTAAATATCATTGACCCATTCTTCCATACCAATATCGTCTAGAGTTAATTAATGTGCCCAAGTTGCATTTTGGTAAAATCTATATTTTTTTTAGTATTATGATAATCACATAATATACATCTGTTCATCATACTGACATTTCTTAAAAGATAGTGTAAGAAAAACAAAAGAACACTTACATACCAGCCTCTCTTGATACACCAGGTGGCTTGTGTCATTGGCTGTGGATCCTGGACTGGAGATTGTATCATCATCAAACTCACTAATCTGATTATAGTCTGGGGGTGGGGGCAGGTTACCATCAGGGGGTGATTCCTGGGTATCTGACTGGATGTGTTGTGCAGGACCAAGTTGTGTTCGTAATATATCCAAAATCATAGCAATATCTGAACACATCTTGTTCTCTAGTCGACTTAGCTGTCTGTTAAGATAAAAATAGAAATAATTTCCTAAACCATGTTCTCTAATCTATTTAGATGTTAACACAAATGAAGATGTTAAAATAACAATGAAATAGCAAGCCAACAGTACAAAGGGCTAGTGCCAAGATCTTATCTGGCCTAATGAATACGAGTATTCAAATAAGTATAATTTTCATGATTGATTGATGTAAGAAAAGTCTGACCTATGAAGTTTTTTATGTTTTTGCTAATTTTCTTTAAATGCTGAAAAGGGCAAGCTATCATATCTGTTAATAATTGGTTTAAATAAATTAAAATAACACTATAAATTAAGGGTATCCAGAGGGCTTTTACCTTGTCAATTCATCAAGCCTTCTTTCCACATCCTGAGGACTTGTATGTCCTGCTGTCTGGAACACATCTGATGCTGGAATAAATTGTTGTCCCCCTTGACATTCCTCAAACTGGGAGTGTGTGGAAGGACTGGAAACAGGAAGTGTCATGGATGAGGTGGACTTTGGCACACTGGAACTAGAGGTCACTCTCCTCTGTAAAGGAAAAAGATATATTTAGATTAGATAGGGAAGCTGGTGATGTTACTGATAATATTTATCACTTTGTTTTTTGGATGGACAGATTGACAGACTGATGAACATATGGGTCAAACACTGTAATACGCAGCTGTTATTACATAGTGTGGGGTAAAGGGGCCAATAGACACTCTTCACAAAGGTTTAATTTTAAAATTTTCATGCCTCGAAAGATATTCACCCTACTCTACATGAAGTTTGACAAAGTCACAACTTGTTAAATGGCCACACAAGGAACGGTTTATTGATTTTTTCAGTGTGAAAGGTAGCTTGATAAGCTCACATTTTATTAAAGGTGAAGCTGGAATAAGTAGTAAAGAACCCTTTCTCATTAAACCATGCCAACATTTAACAGATGACAAAAATGAACCACCTCTGTGTGGTGCATTGTTAAAAAGTGATTGTGAGGAACATTGATGGACATACAGATATTACTTTATCAGGATATGTAGTATTACCTGGGTATCAGAACTTTGACTATGTTCCTGTAACAATGGAGTAGCGTCTTGGTCATTCTGTTTGCCTTGGTGCTCATATCTGCCTGTTACAGCATTAACTAAACTGTTAACATTGGCAAACGCACCTGGAAATCCAAAATGAGACAAGTTTGAATAATTAAATTATAAGGTTGTTCAATGAAAAAAAGTCCAATATGGCTAATCAAGTCACAGTAATCAAGTAACAAAAATAACAAGAAAATAAGACCTAAGATAGTGTTTGCATATATATATATTTGAAGTTAGGGCATATCACAACAAAAAGAACAAAGTTGGATTTTTTTTGTATATAAGATTAATAGTTAAGGAAGTTATTTTACTTTGGTCACAAATCAAATCTCAAAATGAAAGAAATCATTGGGAGCTTAAGATCAACCAAATTTATTAAACAGTACTATGAATTAGCTCAAAGATATGATATAAATCTCATCACAAAAGTACAAACCAACAAGAGATGAACCAAATCCTGAAGGTCTTTTACGTTCTTCTTTGGATTCAAAGTCATCAAATTTTGCAGGTGTAATATCTTGTCCAGCTTTGGCTGGTGAAAATTCTAAAATTCCTACGCCACTTTCTCTGATGTCTTCTTCACTTGATTCAAATGACATTGACATTGTAGGTCCATCTTCTTGACTTTTATGTCGCCGTAATCTTTTAGCTCGAGAAGGTCGGAATTTATATTCTGTTTCATCTATATAATAAATCATATAATGTGTAAATACTCATCTAACTATTCTTGTGTAAAAAACATAGTTAAAGGATTTTAGATGTAAACATGCTATGCATGAATTGCCTAGATGAATTTAACAAAAATAAAGAGAAAATATAAAATGTAAATTGTATATACTTTAGTCAATTGTTCAAAGGAGTAGTTTTGATAACACCCTAAAATGGTCCCTATTTTTAGCTACAATTTCAAATTATGATTTATCGACCAATATCACAATGAATCATAGCTAATTCAATGACTATTAGGAAACATGTCTTTTTGTTGAAAATTTATGACTTGTGTTCTAAACATGACGTCACAAATAGCACTCATTTTGATTTTCTACGAAAATTCAATGAAAACTGGTGAATTTCCATGATTTTTTAGCCGGAAACATAAAGGGCATGCATTGACACAGAAGTTCTTTTAACAAAATGTTTGTTATAACATTTTACATATCTGACTTGAATATTTAGTTTGTCAATGCCTGCACTCTATGTTTCCTAGGCCTAAATTAGGTTAAAATCTAGACAATTTTGTCAAATTTCACAAAAATCTCCATTTTGACCTATTTGGAATGTAAAAATCAATGCTTTAAAACTAAAACTCTGGCAAAAAAAATCCCATGTCTTTTTATCATTTTAAAACATTTATTATCTTGAAACATTAAACTTGATAATCGGGACCAATTATGACCCTTACCGAACTTACTTCTTAAAGGCGTTGAATTATATAATTCAAAGAGAAAGACTTGACAGTAATGAAAAGAATAAATCTGCCCAATAACCATCAATGCACCAGTGTGTTAACTTGAGATTTAAGCACTTTATCATCAGTTTGTTAACATTGTAGCCTTGAGATAGCATAAGGACTTATACTAGTACATGCTTGTTTTCATAGAAAGGGCAAGGTTCACTTTTGCTTAAAATGAATTTGAATTTCAACTTTATCATAAAACATCAAAGGTCACAATTTTGTTCTTAAGGTAGATGGGGTGTCTAAATTATAATCCATAGATTTTTTTAATAATTTGCCAAAATGTAGTTTATATCATGCTTTTAAAAAAAAAATAATAAAAAGAATGGGTCACGGGGGCTTATTTTCACGCTACAGGTTGTTCAAAATTGACAGATTTTGTATAGATTATGCATGGAAAACCCAATTTTCAGCCATAAAACGAAAACTACACCATAGAATTTTGAGATAAAATATGAGAAGATAGCTTTAATAGTATGCTTTCAGATAAGAAAAAGAAAAAGTGGGGTCACCGGACCTGTTTTCTTGCTACATAATAAAATAGGTAAATTCCTAACACATTCTATTATAAAAGTACCTTTATCTGAATTATCTGCCCTTACATTTGAGTTGCCTCCCCTTATGTGGCAAAGTTGGAAAAAATTGAATCAAACAAAACTTTTTCTGTTTTTTGTAAAATACAACCATAAATATGATAAAACATGTCATTTTCTATATTGAAATGGAAATTCTTACACATGAATTACCTACTACTCTCAAAATTTGCACATTCTATTAAAGATCTAGACCGATTGTTTTCTGGTATTTCAAAATCCAAGATGGAGGAAGACACCCTATCTACCTTAATTGGAGTGTTTTCAAAAGCTTTAATGCTAAGAAAAACAAATCTTTTCATGAAAGCACATTACAGGATCCATAAATGTTGACACATATTTATGTCTCACCTTTTCGTAATTTTGTTAGTAAAATACAAATATTGAATCCAAATGGCATTATTTAAACATGTAAACCATGCGAAACATTCCAAGTCAATGAACCATTACTTAATGTGCATGACCAAATAACCTCTATGAAAATGAGAAATGCCAATGCTTATAAAACTGCATAACAAATACCATTGAATTATCATAAGCCATTCCCTTTAAACAAGATTAAACACAACTTTAATATGTTAACTATGCAAAACATTTAAAGTCAATAGACCATGACTGAGGGGATGTGGACAAATAATCTCCATGAAAATGAGATGTGCCAATGCTTATACTACTGAAAATATACTACCAAATATCATTGACCTACCACTAGTGGTCCCCCTCAAACCGACCTAATAACAAACTTAATACATATAAACTTGTTTCAAAGTCAATAGACCATGACTGAGGAGGCGGAGTCAAATAATTGTCATGGGAATGAGATCTGCCAAAGCTAATACAACTGGATACCCAATATACTTGGCCTACCACTAGTGGTTCCTTATGCAATTTGAGCAAGATTTTTTGTTTTTATCACAAGATTAGATGTCTACATGCACAAATTCCTTCTTAAATAATCCAAATTCAACTGGTTAAGCTGACCTCTAGACTTTACAAAAAATTGTTTTCTGAACAATTTTAATTTCTTTAAAGCTTGCTTAATTCATCATTACAATCTAGTAAGGAACTCTTATCAGACTGGTTTATACCACATGTATTAATTCAGTAAGTCAAAATCCTTCAAAATAGCAGCCAAGGGAAATAACTCAAACTAAAATTACATCATATATTAAATTTAAAATCCTGAGGTTAAATGGAGTCTACACACAATAACATTATTATATTAATTTAATAACTCTGACATTCAAGGATATACTTTAGTTACCTTGAGATCCTGAGGAAGAATGGAAAGACTTGTTAGCTCTTCGATGACGAAGTGTTGGCCTTCGCTGATTTTCACTGTCTGTACGTACTACCAACTCTTCCTAAAAATATATTATATTTTATTATATTACTGTATATAAAGAATGGTTAATTATGTTATAAAAATTCACCTTCAAGTTAGGTATAATTATGTCCTTAGAATTTAGTTTAGAACAATATAATAAACAAGATGTTTTATGATTGCCAATTAAGGCTTTTGTTTAGAATGTATATCTTTCTTTTTCATCTGCAGTCTAAGTTTTCTAAGAAACCAAGGACCACCAGATTTAATTGTCAGTATATTTTTGTTCTTTAAATTTTGAAGTCAATGAAGCATGATTAGTATCATTTAACCTTATATACTCCAGGTAGTTGAAACAATAAGAACACATATTTCATTTACATTATACCATTGCTTGGATCAAATCATATTAAGATATGTGTATGATTGTTCTGCATACAATTAAATGTTACTAAATTGCACCTATTGAAACTGTCAAACAAATTAAGGCACTATTTATTTTTAAATGCCAAAAAGCTTATCTGTGTGGTCCAATCTATATAAACTAATATTTTTTTCATACAATCCTTGCTTTACAAATAATAGACGCGAGAATCACTTTTAATTCACAAATATAAAAAAAAAATTTCAATTTTAGTATTAAGATTTCTTTTTAACTTAAGAATGAAAATAAATGTTAACATGTAAATAACAATACTTACATCACGCAGGTCAAATGTGACCTCTAAATTCTTAATAAAAAAATCTGAAAACTCTGGATACATGTCTAGAATTTCTAGGAGATCATCGCGATGAATTTTATGTAAATCACAGTAAGTCAAGGCACGAACATTACAACTAGACTTCCCTACATTCTTATGTCTACATATATTTTCTCCAAACACATCATCTTTTCCTGAAATGATAATTAAAAGTTATAAATGTCATATTGCATCAAGTTCATATCTAAATAATTGAAAGTAGAAAATAGTATAGAGTAAATTCTATTTACAGTGGAATCCCCTATGTCCGCCAGGCTGGTGATATCGCGCATTACTCTATTTCGTCATATCCGCAATGTAACACAAATAAAATTGTTCTTGTAATTGTTTTAGTTCAGAAGGGACAAAAAAGATTAAAATTGATAAGTTCAAGTATAAATTTATAATTGTAATCTCATGATTAACCATAATAAGCCATTTTCGATTAAAAAAAATACATATTCAGATAAAATTGGTTTCATTTAAGGTCAAATTTTTATCAAAATGAAATGAATTTTACTCTGCATCCTTGGTATTCTGTTTGGTTCAAATTGAACTATATTTCGTAGTATAAAATCTTTCCTATATTCAAAATTATCTATTTTTAGAAAGTATGTGTGAAATCACCGGACATATGAAGAACCGTCAAAACAGGGGTTTCCCTTATTTTGGACACACATCCCATAAAATCTTAAGGGTGAAACCTTACATAAAGAAGATTTCATGAAATTAAAGTATTTCATGAATTTGTTTACACAATTTTATCTGATTATTGGTTTTATGGGATTACCAAAGTGAAGCCAAAAGTCTTAGGTGTGTGGATGCACAGGACTGCACCGTAAACCAAAACAGTATGGTTACATCAGTTGAGAGACCTATCTAAGTGAGAAGTATATGAAACAGTATAATTATATCTGAGTTCACTTTATACAACTCAATATAGATACATCATTTAATATTATCATGTCTGAGTTACCAATGAGCATAAAACAACATAGATACATCATTTAATATTTTCATATCTGAGTTACCAATGAGCATAAAACAACATAGATACATCATTTAATATTGTCTTATCTGAGTTACCAATGAGCATTAAACAACATAGATACATCATTTAATATTGTCTTATCTGAGTTACCAATGAGCATTAAACAACATAGATACATCATTTAATATTGTCTTATCTGAGTTACCAATGAGCATTAAACAACATAGATACATCATTTAATATCGTCATATCTGAGTTACCAATGAGCATAAAACAACATAGATACATCATTTAATATTGTCTTATCTGAGTTACCAATGAGCATAAAACAACATGGATACATCATTTAATATCGTCATATCTGAGTTACCAATGAGTATAAAACAGATTTAAAAGTTGTATCTGAGTAAACAGTACTCAATAATCAGAAAGTCACACCTGAGTTTCCAATGAGGAGGTAACAGCATGGTAACATCGTTTGAAAAACCTTAATGTAATCCATCCCAAATCTGCTCCAACACCCAAATACAAAAAAAAACCAAAAAAAACAAACTTACTGTAAATTAAGAAATTATTGCGAGGTTTTTATTAATGCGAATAATGCGACTCCATCAGTATCGCAAAAATAAGAACTCGCATTCTGAAATCTGATACACATATCTGTATGCAGATGTTTTTGAAATCGCAATAATTAATCTCGCATTTTTGTCCATTCCTCAAAAATCGCAATAATAAATGCACGCAATAATTTCTGAATTTACAGTAGTTTTTGTATACTCCAAATCTCATTTTATTCATATAATGGTGACATGGCTTTAGAGTTAATCTGAATTATCACAAGAAAACATTTGTTCTAGTTATCATCAGTAAACCTGCTTTACCAAAGATATACACATTTTTTTTACTCTCATCCTTTCTTTTGGACACAAGTAAATCAACCTAAAAAGCTTCAATGTAGTTTTTATAAAGTATGGCTCCATTGCCTAAGTAACCCTATCAAAAAAAGCTATATCCTTTATCTATGAAACCAGCAAATCTGCCTAAGGGAGTAAGGGCATTACTGTCCTTATCTTGACTGTGCCTAAACTATCTCCACAATAATTACCTAAAATAGCTACTACAATATCCTCTCTAAGTATTTCTATAGAGCCTCTAGATATAAAATACATAGCTGTTAAGACATCTCCTCTGTGTACTAGGGTGTCCCCTGGAGGTACATGGGTAGTCTTAAACTTCATTGATAAAGCTCTCAAACAACCAGGACTAGCTCCTGCAAAAAGCAAAGGAAAACAGAGTTGAACCACAGATATAAATATCATATAAATTCTGCACTTCAATATAACTTGTTTATCATGTAATTTCTTTTTCTCTAAACATGATTACTACATGGACATAGTATGATGGTCACTATTCTAAATATATTATTGCACGACAGCAAAGTCTCAGAAAAATTTATGGCATTACTTATTATGCATATATCTAGCAATCTAATGTGTTATTTTGGACTTTTTTTCAAATAAAATATTTTGGTCTAAGTAGATCTATAGCAAAAAGCAAATAGAAAAATCTTCTACATGTAATGACTTTTTTTGTTTAAATGGACTGTAACTGCTTATATGAAGAACTTAAACGGATAGTAGCTACGATTTTCATTAAAATTATTTTTCTAATCTATATGCCGGTTTTGGACAAAAGGTTTATTTAGAATGAATAAAACCATCACTATTTACTTTCCAATTAGCATTTAGAAGCTTTTTAACGTTTTACACCTGAATTTAATTTTTGTCTACAGACAAAAATTCGATGATAAGCAAACCCTTATTCATATGACCTATGTTGACATTAACTCCGCAGTTCCCAATGCGCAATCCCAAGTTGTCCCTCGATGGGAAAATGTCGAACAGAGGAATGTTATCGCGGAAAAGGAACGTGTGTTTACAGTTTCTGCGAGAAAAAGAAACAGTAAAGAGGTGCAGACAAGTTATTGTATATTGAAAATAAATAACGGCGATGAGATCGGTCATTAGAATCATTTACAAACACCTGTCACGCAGATAAAGTCATTATATAAGCAGTCGACATTATGACGGTTTGCGAATTGTAAAAAACATTTCTGAACTTTTCGAATCCAGATCACATGAAAATAAATCGCGACGTGTTCAAATCATTATTGTCCAAAATATCTTTATAAATTTAAGAGCAGTGACCTTTCAACTGCTTACAATTTAATATTATTCTTCCAGTGTACCCTGCATGAAGGCCCCAATTCAATGCACAAACACGTGTATACGTTATCGGCATTGTTTTGTCATACAAAATAAAACAAGTGTATAATATCGCCATTGTTGGAGAACCTTGGGTTCGAATAATATGCAGGCCTTTGGTATATTTTGTTGTTTACATAATTTGATAAATGGTTTCAAATATGTACGTTTAATCTAAAGAAATTGTCAAATACGTAAGAAAACAAAAGCACATGTTCATATTTATTTATATCTTGGTCATCCCACTCGCTGTGTCGGCAAAGTTCGGGAAGTAAACCAGATGCATAATTAATGAGATGAAAAGGCACGCTACACGATATTAATTATCAATTATTAACACTTCTGTACTTTATATAAACATTCCACCGATCTTATTGTTAATTTTAAAAAGTACATATCTTTGATTTTAGCAGCTTTAAAACTTGGTCATAATTTTGTCAAAATCGTAGCTACTATCCTTTTAAGAATACTTTGATTTTCATGACCTTGTATTTTTGACAATCAATGGATGCTTTACCTGCATCAATTTTTATTCGTAATTTGACTCCTTTTACTTTCTTCCTTTCAATATAAACTTCTGCTTTGTATATATACCTACCTTTAAATGCTGGACAATTACTGATTAAATTTTTATTTAGATGTAAACATATATCTGCTTGTAAACATTCAGGGAAACTCTTTAACACCTGAAAAAGATACAGTTTAAAGTACAGTGAAATCTGTTTTACAAGACCACTTAAGGGAAAGCAAAAATGTGGTCTCATAAAATATTTGGTCTTTAAATACAGGTTAAATTTATATGAAATGCACTACAGAGGGACCTAACATTAATGGGGCCTAATAACACAGGTATCTGCTTAACACAGATGGTCTCTTAAGCAGGTTTGACTGTACAGATATTTCTCAAAGTGGCCACACATACATGTACAGTAACTTTTATCAAAACTTCAATTAGTCATAAAATTAAACTAGTTATTTTTCAAGTAAACCTTAATACATTAAATAAATAAAACTGCCCATACATCTGTTCTACACAAGTTACCTGCAGTTTTTTTTTTAAACAATTTGTAATTGAATATTATCTTATTATACCTATATTATGTTTGTGCACATGGAAAGACAATTGAATAAATACTTAATCTATATTCCAATACACAGATGTAATAAATATAGCTTCTCTATAGGCAGAAATCAATACATTTGATATGAATGTTGAATGCAAAGATGGAATCAAATTTCCAACACTGCTTTTTCACAGCAATTTTAAATATCTTTATTGTATAAGTCTCATTCATAAATCAGGATAATATAGAATAAACTATTTTTTCAACTCAAACACGATTACAAGATTGGCAACATGAAAGGAACAAATTTTACAAAATACTTTTTAATCAGCAAACGGTTTCAGAACTATACATTGATTTTTTTAATTGACAGTTTTAATCAATTAGCACAGTCACAGTGGAATTTATTCTATAAACATCACAAATGACTTTTTTTATATGCTAAACGCTTACAGTTTTAATATTTGTCTTTCTGAACTCCTTTTATTTCAAAAATGTCAAACTCTATCTCAAATCCCTCTATATAGTTAGATTTATTTTATCCATTAGTCAAGACTTTCATACAAACATTTTGATATGCAAATTAGACATTTAATTTAGCCAAAAAATGTTTAAATAAATGAAAAATGTGTGCATGGGACACAGATGCCCCTGCTTGAAAATAAACAGAAAATTAAGCAATTTTTCCATTTATAAAGGGACATAACTTTTAAGCAATCCATCATCTAAAATGGCTGTTGTTGACATGTGTACAAATTCTAGAAATAAAAACTTCAAAAAAAATTTAACATCAAAGTGAGCAATCAAAATTTGAACAATATGGAAAGTATAAAGACTGTTTTTCCCAAGGTAATACTGATTAATATTTATTTGATCTTGTTTCATTCAATAGCATCTGAGTATTCCCAAACAAAAGTAAATGATATTGATAATACACAAATATTTAGGTTCTATAACAAGCTGCTGTTAAATTAGATACAAAATCAATCTACATTTAATGAGGAAATTATGATATTTTATCTGGAGAATGGGTATTTGTTATCTCGTTTATAATTGTAGGCATTTTTCTTATCTACTTATTTTTCCTGTTTTGTATAAGATAAGATAAGATAAGATATTTTTATTTCCAATTATGGGCCCCAAAGGGCATAAACATTACAACATCAATAATTTTTTCATAATACAATACAAACAATGAGATAAAAAAAAAAAAAAAAGTTAAACGAGAACTATTTAAGTTCTTAAAGAATACGTAGATAAAGAATCTATAGTATGTTGTTTTTTTTTTTTAATACTAATGCATTTTATTGCAAGTGTGGTTGATATAGATAACAAACAAGCAGCCCAAAAAGAAAAAAAGAAAAATAGATATCCACATATGTATAGTACACAAAAAGTTGGATCAATTAAATATATAATAATTAGCCAAAAAGAAAGTAGAAATTAAACATGTCCATGACTCATCCTGTGTCAGCAGCAAATAGGAAAGCATTATGGTTTCCTAAAGGCAGCTGACACCAGGTGGCGATACCTTATGGGCCAAAGGCATGTAAAATGTGTGTAAATGTCTCTTTCCTACCTGTATCAAAAGCAAACAAGGAAGCATCATAGGTAACTTGAATGCAGTTGATACCAGGGGACGATGCCTCAAGGATATAAGAGAACATTTGAATAAATAATATATCTTAACAATTATTTTTTTTTTTAATCGGCTAGTATGTTTGTGATATTCAGATGAATATAATTTTCTATGTCCAATCAAATGTATATACACACATAGATTTCCTTTAACTAATCTTCACTAAGGAAGATGTTTGTATATAAAATTACATATTATTTTAAGTAACTCAACATTTTCTACACTAAATAACCAGATAATTTTGCTTTGACTGTTCATATGATTAAAATAAGAATTATATTGTGCAATACTAGCTAACATACAATTTCTATCATCCTCAAATTTGTTACAATCAAATAGAAAATGAGCCTCATCTTCGACAGTATTGGAAGAACATTTATTACATATTCTGTTAATTCGGGGAATACCCTGATATCTACCTAATTCTATTTGTAATCTATGAGAAGATACACGTAATTTAGTAAAACTTCTTCTAATTTCAAAATTCTTGATCAATGTTAGATATTTTTCAAAACCAAAATTTGTTTTATATAAAAGGTAGGTTTTCAGTTTACTGTCTGAAAATTTATCTATTTGTTTTTTCCAACAGCTAATAAACAATATTGATAGCTTGGTTTGTATATATTTCTTAAATTTGTATAAGGATTCACAAAATGGAGCATTTATGGCATTTGTATAGTCAATACCAAGTATTTTAAAAACAACATTTATTGAACCATACCATGATGTTATATTCATGTGATGTAGTGTCTTTGATTGTGTATATGCCTCTTTTAATAGAGGAAAATTATTACCTAAATTCTCTAATCTATACCAGTACAATAACATTCCTTTTATAATATTAAAATATATTGGAAATCTTCCAAGTTCAGATAACACTGCAGCATTTGTTGTTTTCTTGTGTACCCCAAGTATAAATTTACAAAATTTTATATGAAGTTTCTCACAGGGTAAACCTGAATATAATTTTTCAAAAGATATATCTTCCTTCTTACATTTAGAGGAAAGAGAATTAAACATCCCCCATATTTCGCTACCATATAATAAAATAGGTTTTACAGTGTGGTCAAAAACATGAATACTTGTTTTTACATCAGGATTAAGTGATAAAAGATCTTTCCTTAATTTGAAATGAGCTTTCAGGGATTTTTTGTATAGTTCATTTTGAGCATAACTGAATGAACCAGATGAGCTTAAATATAAACCTAGGTATTTGTATTTTGAAACACATTCCAGATTTATATTCTGAAATGTGAATATCTGTTTTACATGTCTGCCTGCCTTGTTGAAAATCAGCACCTTTGTCTTATTAGTATTCACATTGAGACACCAATCTTTGCAAAATTTATCAAGCATTCCCAGCTTTTCTCGTAGTCCTTCAGCTGATGTAGATAATAAAACAATATCATCAGCATACATTAAACAATGTAGATCTTTGTCATTGACATTAACTGGGTCTCTAGTATCTGACAAATATCTGGGCAAATCATTTATGAATATCTTGAATAAATTCGGACTGAGGTTGTCACCTTGTTTGACTCCAATATCTAATGGGAAAAAATCACTTACTTGATTTTGAATTTTGACACATGATTTGCTAATTTCATACATACTTTTAATAATGTTATAAAAATAAGACCCAGCCCCAATATCTCGTAGTTTAATCTTGATCCCTGTATGTATAACAGTATCAAAAGCCTTCTGAAAATCAACAAAACAGGCAAACAGTCTACCTTCTTTTGAATTACAGTATTTGTTAATAAGACAGTTTAAAATAAACATATGATCTGCAGTTCTGGCTTTCCTTGTGAATCCAATTTGACTATCATGTATAATATTATGTTCCTGAAGAAATTTGTCCAGTCTTAAACTTAATATTCTATTAAAAAGCTTTCCAATTGCACTTGTTATTGTTATTCCTCTATAATTGTTAGGGTCACTTGTATCGTTGCTTTTAAAAATTGGTGTAATATAACCTTCAGCCCAAGATGTTGGGTATATACCTGAAGACAGACAAGTATTAAACATCTGTTGAAAACTTTTTAAAATGAAAGTCTGTCCATTCTTTATCATATTATTACTAATGTTATCCAAGCCTGATGATTTATTGCATTTTAAGTGTGAAATGGCTTTGGATATTTCAGACTCAGCTAGGAACAGTATATATAACGGGAAATGAATCTGAAACGCTTTCCAGTATAAAATTGATAAAATCTCGGACTCCCCGAGACTTCCCGAGATTTACGGATTTTGGTAGCGTCTGACTGAAAAACTATCAGAACTGCTCAACAAATAAACCACATAACTCTAATTGTAAATAAATACAAGTTTTATCATTTAGTAGATATATTTTGTCACATAAAATTACCAAAATAAGTTTGATTTATTTGATGTGAAGTGTTTTATAATAGTTTGGGAATTTGTAAATCATCGCGGCAATGGCCGCCATTTTTTTATTACCTGGTTTGCATTCTGCACAATTCTGTGATGAAATGCTTGCGATTTTAACAAATTTGAAGTGACAGAATACAAGTTTGATACACTAGCATCACTATAAAACTAGTTTGAATGACATTTTATTGATAATATCAGAAATTATTAGGATAATAGCGAGTCCGTTTTTAACACATGTCCGTTTCTGTATCGTATCTTTATTAACTATGGCACGACGATAAAATCGACTACAATCAGGTAGTGTCAAGTCCCGTCAATATATATGTTCCTGGACTCAGTGATAACGGAGTCCAACTCGTTGAAACATTTTGAGTTTTCTAACTGTTTCAGTTTTTCACATAGCTCTGTATATCTACTTTGAAATTCACCTTTCAGTTGTGACAACTTTTGGAAATGTGATATCAAAGTTGATGGTTGTACTCCACATTTTTTTTTAGTTTCATTTTTTTCCTGTAGTTCATTAATTAAGTTCCAATACAGTTTTGGATTCTCTTCGTGCAAGGAGTCCAGCTGACTAATCAATGATTGTTTGTATTGTTTGTATTTATATTTCCTTAGTTTGGAGTATTCACGATTCAGTTTATAAAAGTGATTTTTGATAATTGGATCATATGGAAATCTTGAATAAATTTTTCCATAATTAAGCAAGTTAGTTCGAGCTTGTTGTAAACTTGCGTCAAACCACTTTTTGTTTTTTTGTTTGTTTGTGTGTTTTTTTAAAGGTCGTTTAAGTGATAGATTTGCTGCTGATAAAAAGATGTTTGAAAGTTTTGATGATGCTTCATCTACTGATGTCTGAGTAAATTGAATTGTGCTGTTGTTGAATTCTAGTATGTAGTTTTGTAGTGTATCTGAAGAAAGTGTTTCTTGAAATTTTATTGCTGAACAGTCAGTCCAGATATAATTAGGTGTCATATTTTTCAACTGGATTGGAATATCATTTTCTCCAGGAACACAATATTTTGCAGATAATTCCCACTCAAGTTTACAATGACAATCAGATAATGTGGGAATAAATCTGGATACTTTAAAATACAGTACATTTTCAAGAATTTCTTCCGACACAGCAACATAATCAACCACACTTGCACCATTGGGGGTATAGCAAGTAAAATTACCAAATGTATCACCAAGAACTCTGCCATTTAAAATTCTTATTTGTTTACTAATGCAAAAATCCAAAACTTCTTTGCCTCTTTGATCAATTTTTTGGTCTCGACTTTTTCTTGTCATAATGTTTTTGTCAGTAGGGTATGTATCAAAAATTGGAGTAAATTTTGAATCATCGTTTACTATAAAGTCATTTTCAGAGCCTATTCTGGCATTAAAATCTCCACATAACAAAATTTCACCCATTTTTTTATACTGAAAGATATCTTTTTCTATGCATTCAAAAACATCAGAAGAGAGTTCTTGGGTATATTTAGACGTAACAGGGGGGTTGTACATTACACAAATAAATAGGTCACTTTTAAATCCAAAAAAGGATTTTTCTAATTTAATCCATTGATAATCTGGATTACTGTTAATCAATATTTTGACATGAGGTTTAACGTGACTTTTCTGTAGAATTGCTATACCCCCAAAATGACGGTTATTATTTGATAATTTTCTACATATTGGATGATAATGAAATTTACCAATATTGTGTATTTGGGAATTATATCCCACATGAGTTTCGACTAAAAAAACAATGTCGTAATTCTCTATATGTTTCAGAAAAAGGGGATCCTCTGCTTTATTCATGCCCTTTGAAAATAAGCCACCTATATTCCAATAACCAAATTTTACAGATGATTGGTTTGATTTTGGCATTTTGGTTGATACAATTAAATCTGGTATAAATAATAGAATAGATTTTCTATCTATAAAAAAAAAAATAATAAAAATTTGTCTCTAAATAAAAGGAAGAGACAACAAGGAAAATATTCAGAAATGTAAATATTTGAAATAAGTAGATTTATTTAGAGGATAGTTTTTACAATGGTTTTCTAAATACAAATAGTCTATGATATAATGACAGATAATTTCTTTTCTATGTATCCTCTTTTAACTGAATAACTATTAAACTGATTTGGGTTGAATAACCTGATATCCTGGGTTAATTCAAGATCAAAAGTATGATTCAAATGTGAAAACTAAAAATAAAAATGAATAAAATAAAATAAAAAAGGCGAACTTTTATACCTAGCAGAGGTTACATATATATGACCATGTAATAGTGTGACTTCTTCACATAATGGCTGTTTCATTTGAAAAATCTATTCAAATGTGAATATGAATTTATCAGCCCAATTTTTTGTATATAATAATCTAAAAAAATGTTGATCTTTATTATCAATAACAGCCTTTTCTGTAATGACCAGGTCATTTGTATTCCCTTGCAGTTTGCCACTGACTATAAATAAAGGGAATTTAGTAAAGGTGTTTTACTGGTTAATCCTTCTAGATTTATCTGTCATAATCAAGGATAACTCTAAGTGCCTCACTGATAATATTTGTTTTGTACCTGCATTTTTATAAATTGTTTATATTTTTCTATTAGATTTTTGGCCTTGTTTATAAAATCTTTCACACTACACTTTATGGGGCTAAATTTATACTCAGTAACTTGTTAACTTACCATATTCATATCAATACCATTTGTATATGACCAAGCATGTTGGAAATATTCCTCTAACCTCTGTCGCAATGGATTTGGAATTTGATGAAAACGTATAAATTCTTTGATACGAATCATTTGTATATGGTATCTGGATGTACCAGAATATAATCTCTGAATAATTGCTGAAACATTACCAAAGATGCTGGCATACATCAAAGCTGAAAAATACAATTATCAAAGAATAATATATTTTATATTCATACATACTTCAAGAAATTGTATTTGAATGAAGGATGCATACATCAATGCTAAAAAAACGTAATTACTGAATTATTTGAACTCTTTTAAACATTTCATGTATGAGTGAGCTGACAATTTATGCCATGTCAACAGATTTGTAGATCTTGTTCTTCTTCTGATGATTATTATTGTCGAGACATAGTGATTTAGGTTCAGTTTGCTATTCATCAGTAAAATACGGAAAAATAACAAAATATTTTCAAAATTTTGCTCTAAATTCTGTCTTTTTGTCATAAGAAAGCTTCTGTTCAAATTTCATAAAATTCCATGAAGGTTTGACAAACTTATCAATGTCCAAAAAAACTGACTGAACATAAATGTTGATGATGCTAATAACACCTCGGCCGACTGAATGTAGGATTGTTTTGTCTCGCTTCAAAAACATAAATGTTGCAGGCTCAACAAATAAATCATTCAAGGACAAAAACTTGTATCAAGAGTCCACTGACAATATTTTGGAAATGGCAGTAGTATGATGACGTACATTTCTGCACTTGTCAGATTTTCTTTATCTATAACGGTTTCCAAGCATTATAGAGTAAACTTGCATTTTACCACTTTGTTTTATTTTTAGCCATGTCTGTTTGTAGGCAGAATGACAGACACATTTTCTAAACTAGAAACCCCAATAATGATTGTAGTCAAGTTTGGTTCCAATTGGCCCTGTAGTTTCAGAGGAAAAGTTAACGGACAACGATAATAGACAACAGACTAATAGACAACAGACGACAAACACAAAGTGATGGCAATAGCTCACACTGGCCATTTCTGCCAGGTCAGCTAAAAAGGGACCTGATTATTGTTCTGTGACAAATTGCATATCATTCTCAATTTCTGTGGAACCATTACTGACTTCTCATATATATGAAAATTGCCCATCCTCTCCCACTCTCCTTTTTACAAGTAAATTCCCCCAAACTCTAAAATGACATTTCAGACAATAATAAAATTATTGGTAACTTTCTTCCATCAATATTTACATTGTCTTGAAATTTCATGAAATTCAGTTAAAGCAAGCTTCAATCTAGGTAGTGTATTCTAATGGACAGATCAGAGGAAAAAATATACAGACCGGTATGTCCAAGTGGCAAAAGGCATATAAAATATTCATTAATTCTGTAAAATACTGAAGAAAAATCACAAGCGGACTTCTTAATCATCAAAAGCAAGAATATTCCATTTGAAGTAGTCATTGAACCCACCATCATGAGCAATAAACAAGTTTAATACAATTTTTAGGCAATCAGTGAACAATATCAAGGTCATACCATCAACAGTATCTATATTTCTACTTAAACTGACATCTTAGTTTATTTTAGTGTTGAAGTTACATTGTGATATCATATCAATCTGATGCCTGTGTCCAAGGACCAGAAAACACTCTACTTTTTTGTTTTAAAGACCTTTTTGAGATCCTCCAGTTTTGTTATAAAGAATTATATCTTCAAAAATTTGAAAGCAGAAATTTCATTGGTTGACATAAATATCAAAACAGAAATAAGAATGGAATGTTGTAAGCAAACATGGACACACGATTTGTGTTATAATCAGATTAATACCATATCTGATGCAAATCTTAAAACTGGAACTAATCTAAAACTTACCTCTTAACCAAGAAAATTATGTCAGATATTCAACTTTTAATATCTTAAAGAATTTTTTGGTGAAAGTTACACCAAGTCACATTAAACTACAGTGGATTATTCATTGGATACCAATTTTTGTGGATTTCATGGGTATAGGTGAACCATCAATTTGAAGATCAACAAATTACAAATTTTCTATAGGCTTGTAAGAAGACTTTGGCAAAACCAGGAAATAAAATATCCACAAAAATGTAAATTTTACTCAATCCACGAAAATTGGTACCCACCAAAAATAAATGAATCCACAGTAGTCAATTAAAATTCATCTTAACCAAATCTGTCAAACTAGAGAATGGAGAAATGACAAAGGTACATATAACAAAAACACTTAATGCAGGTAGACAATTTCAACAAATGCCATTCATTTAAAAATATCTGCAGTTATTTTTCAATGTATCTTTTATGTGATGTTATCTTTAGATATTTATAAAACTAAGCCATGAATAAGGTATATTAATACTTACATCCTATCAACATAATAATTATGGAAAAAATCTTTTCAGAATTAGTATTTGGTGACACATTTCCAAATCCCACACTAGTTAAACTACTGAATGTAAAGTATAATGCTGTCACATATTTAGATTTTATCGTAGGTCCTCCTGTATCGTTGACATAATATTGATGAGTCTGTTCTGCTAGTTCATCTAACCAGCCTATTTTCGGACTTTCTAAATGAGGTCGTTCTACATTGCCTATTGCATACCAAATGCATGCTAACCAATGAGCAATTAGAGCAAATATTGCCATAAGTAACATGAGTACTGCTGCACCATACTCAGAATATCTGTCAAGTTTACGAGCCACTCGGACCAAACGTAACAATCGTGCTGTTTTCAACAGTCCTATTAATGTTGTTGTCTGGAAAACAAAGGAAATAACATGAGGCATATAACACACAACAAAATGCAAACTACATATGGTTAAAATTTACACACAATTGATACTGACAAGTAATTAACCAAAAATACATGACTTGTATGTTATGGATTACAAATATATTCAGGGACCTTGATGGCCAGGATATTTAGGTAGTTGATTGAAATCTATCAGTACAGATCAAAGACTTCAAGTTATATATGAATAAATGATAAGGAGCATGTAATCTCCATACCTGATAAGAGTACATTTGTACATCAGTTTCTTGTTTAGAGTCTGTTGTTTTACCATGTGAACTCCATTTTTTGGCATGATCTCAAATAATATAAATGTGTATGAGACAATAACATTTATTCCCTTCAAACATTGTAATATTTATATGGTAATGATTTTTTGGTCATTTGAAAAACTGATAAAATGAGTTTATGGCAAAAATGTTGAGACTGAAAGAGTTAACAAGGGGAGATAATGAATTAATTGACACTATTTTAACATCACTCCATTAAAAATGTGCCTTCTATGTCAGAATCTGGTCAGTGGTTGTGATTGAGTTTTCTTAGTTTGTTTGTTTATTCAAACTTTGGCAGATCTCCTTTATAGTTGATTTTTTTGTTGAGGCAGCGTTAGCTTAACACCAACCAATCAATCATTAAGTTGATTTATTTTGTAGCTTGCATACACTCAGGGTAATTAGACCTTGGTATATGGGTGTTTGTTTTCTATCAAGATTGTGTTTGTATACACAGTTTGAAGCATCCAGGTCTTCTACCTTCTAAAATATAAAGCTTTATACAAATTGTTAACACAGTCCCCGCCAGAATAGCATCCCTATGTATCACATTCTGCTACTTTTGTCTCTGGCAAGACAAAAATGACAATAGAACAGGAAACTGTATCAACTCCCTTTAACTTTAATATAATTATTATATTTGACCACATTAATCAAAGACCAAAAGCAGAGCAATATAAATACTGATTACAACTATGTCCATTCTATTTTTCCCACATTTCAATATCAATACTCAGCTAAAATCAGAAAAATTACCTCATGTGTTTCTGAACCAAATAATAACAAATCAAATGGAATGGCAGCAAAGAGAACTTACCTCATCTGTTTCTGAACCAAATAGTAACAAATCAAATGGAATGGCAGCAAAGAGAAATTACCTCATCTGTTTCTGAACCAAATAATAACAAATCAAATGGAATGGCAGCAAAGAGAACTTACCTCATCTGTTTCTGAACCAAATAGTAACAAATCAAATGGAATGGCACCAAAGAGAACTTACCTCATCTGTTTTTGAACCAAATAGTAACAAATCAAATGGAATGGCAGCAAAGAGAACTTACCTCATCTGTTTCTGAACCAAATAGTAACAAATCAAATGGAATGGCAGCAACAACGTCAATTAAAAACCATCCTTTAAAATAATGAACAGCAATCTTCCCTGGATGGCTAACTACTTCATCATTTTTGTTTACATATGTTGTACGAAAATTTATCAAAATATCCACAATAAACATAATATCCACAATCAAGTCTATTATTGTCAATGGATCAGAATAGCGTTCTTGAACTGACTGATCTTTATTTCGCTTCTCTTCACTTAACAGAAAAGCTGCAACGTATGGAGTGAAAATGGCAGTATATATCACAAGTAAAAGAATTATCCAGTCCCATACAGCCTTGAATGGGGAATAATGTAAAATTGTACATTTGGGTATTCGTGGAGCTTGAAGTTTGTATTCTGGCAAAACATCTGCACCAAGAGACAAGACCTAAAAAAAATTTAAAAAAAAATATATTAGAGTTGACTTTCTTTAATTTGCAACAAGAATATCTATCTGTACAACATGGTGATTACTAGTATTGTGTGTAACCAAAATACCAATAAAAAAAATTGCATAGTTTACCTCTTGAAGTTTAAACTTAAACTCAATCTTCTCCATACCTTAAATTTGGGTAACATCATACCTCTGATATTCACATTATGGTGCATTCATGGATGAAGTATATCACATAAGTTCTTAATAACATCACTACTCAAAATTTAACCAACCCTTAAATCATGATTACCTAACCATGAAATTAAGGTCAGTCAATCCCTGTGACATATATTTTGAAGAGGTCACCACAGGATTTATTCATTTCAATATTAGGTCTACTTCACATCAAGCTACCTTTAACCTTAATATTAATTGTACACTCTAAATCCGTCTCATTCAAACATGACATTGAGGTTTCATTATTCTTTTGACTAACGATGTGATATATCTTCAATATTTCATATATCGATGTTGGTATCAATTTTTCATTTGCTTCTATTGTTAAACCTATCAACTTTATGCAAAAAATGGGCTATACAGGCATCCATACTTTAAAACAAAAATAGGCCATACAGATACCCAAACTTAATACAAAAATGGGTCATACATAAATTGTATACCCTGCTTTTACAAGCAGGACCAAAGATAGATTAATATCAATACACACTTTCATACTGAAAATATCATCTGAGATTGAAAACCTCTGCAAGGTTAAACTTTCAGCTAATGTGAGCTGAATGGAATCTAAAATACTTATATCTTAATAGATTTAGCTTGTTGGTCAAAAGTTTCTATGAAAATGTGTTTCAATAAGCAAATAAATAATTGTCAATATAAAATCATATAAGCAAATTTCAATAATTGATATCAATTGTTTTCCAGGCACTGTGTTACAATACATCCATTACTGTCCTCTGACAGAAACAACATGATACATTAATGTGAAGCAACAGGTTATTGTTATTCTGATTTTCCATAAAAATCTCTGATAAATAAATCTGTCAATTAAATCTGTCAATGGTCATTTTATAACAATAGGAATTGGGTTTGACAGCGATTTTATTTCTCTACAGTCTGATTTTATCCATTAGTTGGTCCATCATTCCTAAATCTATGCTACATATCTCATTTTATAGTCAAAGAGTTAATTGTGCTATGGTTATTTCATTGATAAACAGAACTTACATATTTCATATATTCCTCATTGTCATGATTATTTTATACCCAACACTGGATTATCTTAAACATAAAGGTCTCGATGGCTGAGTGGTCTATGTAATTAATCATTTAGTTAGCCTTTCAACAATAAGGTTGTGAGTTCAAACTCTGATCCTGGCAAATTGTGTTTTTCTCTGATCCTGGCAAGTTGTATTTTTCTCTGATCTTAATCGACTAGGATTGCCAGTATTCATGCCAAAGGTCAGTGGTTCTCTTACAGGTACTCAGACTTTCCTAGAGCAAAATTAGGCCTGCCAACTTCTAATGGTTATCAAAACAAACAAAAAATCAATTGAGGTCAAGGTTAGATCAAACTTGTGAAACGATGATGAATATCTTACAGTAGTTCATGTATAATTAACCGTCCACTTTAGGTAACTGAGAATCTGAACATAGCAGGACACTTACAATGAATGCTTATTAAACCATGATAATGAGAGTCAAATGATCCAAACAGACCTGTGACCTAATATGGCTTACTCACTCCAATTATAGTACCTTAAATATTGACCTTACTACACCTCCTTATTTCTATTTCTATACTAAGTGTAATAAAATGCTCCGCAGGGAGCAGCTTGATACGACCGCAGAGGTCGAACCCTGAACAGTTGGGGCAAGTATGGACACAACATTCAAGCTTGATACAGCTCTGAATTTGGATTGTGATTAAATATTTGACACAGCATAGGTTTCTGACACAGAATGAATGTGGTCTGAGAACTTAAAAATTTTAAATTGGACATTCACCTTTTATGGTCCAATATCCAAAATCTAAATACATGGTTAGATTCAGCATATCAAAGAACCCCAAGAATTCAATTTTTGATGAAATCAAACAAAGTTTAATTTTGGACCCTTTTGACCTCAATGTGGACAAAGTTGATAACGGGGCCCAAAAATCAAAAATCTAAATACATGGTTAGATTCAGCATATCAAAGAACCCCATATATTCAATTTTTGTTGAAATCAAACAAAGTTTAATTTTGGACCCCGATTTGGACCAACTTGAAAACTGGGCCCATAATCAAAAATCTAAATACATGTTTAGATTCAGCATATCAAAAAACCCTAAAAATTCAATTTTTGTTAAAATCAAACTAAGTTTAATTTTGGACCCTTTGGACCTTAATGTAGACCAATTTGAAAACGGAACCAAAAATTAAGAATCTAAATACACGGTTAGATTCGGCATATCAAAGAACCCCAATAATTCAATTTTTGATGAAATCAAACAAAGTTAAATTTTGGACCCTTTGGACCTCAATGTGGACCAATTTAAAAACGGGGCCCAAAATCCAAAAACTTAATACACGGTTAGATTCAGCATATTACAGAACCCCAAGAATTCAAGAATAAAACCCCATTGAAATTGATCAAGAAATAAGCAATTTATACGAAGTATTTTCTTTTGCACAATACTGTGCAATTGAATATTTCTTGCTATTGTGCAATACTGTACAATTGACAATTTCTTGCTATTGCGCAATATTGTGCTATTGGATATTTCTTGCTATTGGGCAATACTGTGCAATTGAAGATTTCTTGCTATTGCGCAATACTGTGCAATTGAAGATTTCTTGCAATTGTGCAATACTGTGCAATTGAAAATTTCTTGCTATTGCACAATACTTATTATATAATAATTTACACATCCTGTTTGGTGTGTATCTACTACCATATCATTATTATTTGCTTTTAAATATTAATCAGAAATAACCAACTTAAAATGGAAAATTTTAAAAGAAAAAAAAAAGGAAAAAAAGAAAAAAAAAGAAAAAAAAAAAAATCCCCCCCCCCCAAATTTTTTGAACCCCCTTATGATTCATCACCCCCAAACTCAATCCCAGCCTTCCCTTTGTGGTATGGTACCTTGCAGTACAATTTCAGAGAGATCCATACACTTGAACACAAGTTATTGTCTGGAAACTAGAAAAATGCTTATTTTTGGCCCCTTTTTGGCCCCCAATTCCTAAACGTTTCGGGCAATTACCCCCAAACTCAATTCCAGCTTTTCCTTTGTGATATGAAACCTTGTAGTACAATTTCAGAAATATCCAAACACTTACACACAAGTTATTGTCATGAAACTAGAAAAATGCTTGTTTCTTGCCCCTTTTTTGGCCCCTAATTCCTAAAATTTAGAGGCAATTACCCCCAAAATCAATTACAGCCTTCCCTTTGTGATATGGAACCTTGTGGTACAATGTCAGAGAGATCCATACACTTACACACAAGTTATTGTCTGGAAGTTAAAAAAATGCTTATTTTTGGCCCCTTTTTGGCCCCTAATTCCTTAACTGTTGGTACCATAACCCCCAAAATCAATCCCAACCTTCCTTTCGTGGTATTGAACCTTATGGTAAAATTTCATGGAGATCCATTCACTTAAACTAAAGTTAGAGTGCGAAAACCAATGTGTCTTCGGACGACGCCGGACGACGCCAGAAGACGACGACGACGCCAACGTCATACCAATATACGACCAAAAAATTTTCAATTTTTGCGGTCGTATAAAAACTAAATACTTCTCACTCAACTATGAAAATAAGTCCAAGCCAATTGGCCAATCATGTCAGACAAACATGTAAGCTTTATCACAATTCTAGACAAATTTTGTTGACAAACAACTGTAAATCTAAAAGGAGCCTGAAATCTAATGGTTACAGGTACTCTCTGAACCTTGAAAAGAGGTCAAGGTCAAGTGAATTCTGTCACACATATGTAGTTTAGGACAAGAGTACATGTTAAAATAGCTTGCCACTTTAATGATCATGATTGATTTTTTGTTGTAAAGTTTTAACTACAAGTATCACATAAACTAAACATTATCAATGATCCATGTGAATGAGGTCAAAGTCAGATGAACCCTACCAGAGGGACATGTACACCTAGCAATCATTCAATCCACCAAAAATAGTTGACATACTTTTTTATAGTATTTTCAAAAGCAGACTCATTGACATCATAGTATCCTCTTTTCTTATACTAATCTACAAAACTGAACATTGACCAATGAACCATGAAATAGAGATTAAGGTCAGATGATGGGTGCATTGCATTTGCACCAATTTTTACAAAATCCAATCTTTCATTTGCGCCACAAGGTTATATTTTATTTGCGCCAAAAAATCAAGACTACATTTGCGCCATTTTACAGGTAACATATAACGGAAAAGTTTAAATATTCATTACTATATCGCAAATAAGATTTTTTTTTTAGCATTCCCCCTGGGTTATTAATTGAGTTTATACTCGTTTCTAATACAAAACTGAGATTCACTTTGGTTTAAAATTATATAGTGTTCACATGTTTGAGGTGTCAAGATGGACATTATCAATTCGGGGACAAACAGAGAAAATTAATCTTTAATTTATGATGACCACACATAAAGGTTATCTGATATTCAGAAAAATGGGACAAATCGTTTAGGACTACCAAAAAAATTGCAAAGCCAGAATAACAACAGATATGGACAATAAAAAACTATAAAAACTTTGAACGAACACAACAATGGTTTTCATCGAACGTATCAGTGTATAAGTGCTTTCATTATGGTTCTATAATGACTAATTTCTGATAAATATGTTTTATTATGCAAACAAAAAATGTGTTTTAAAATTATTATTAAAAGTTTCTTTTGAATAAATCTATTTTTTTACCTTATTTACCTGTAATATTGGCGTAAATGAAATGTTTTATTATTGGCGTAAATGAAATATGGTTTGTGGCGCA